CTAACGTCAGCAAAGGGCTGGTCTTTGCTCTAATTTTCCTTATAACCGGCAACAAATTCATGTCTCGTTCTTCTCTTAATGTACCTTATGTCTAAGTTGGCACTTTTACAACTTGTATAACCTGTCAACCCAAAAAGGGTGTCCCTTCCAGGCGGGTACAGCTTCAGAGAGGTTGACTTCACTCCGTTTCAGAGCATGGTGAGGCTGATACAGAATCTTGGGTGTGGACCAAAAGAAGTTTCTGAACAGGAACACGAGAAACCCTTTAAAAGGAGAAATGAGATTAAGTTCTTTGGATCCTAATGAACCATGTGGCTCCTTGGTGGTCAGCACTGTAGTGCCTTGGAGTCTTGACTTCAGGTGGGGCTCAGTGACAGTGCTCTGAGCTGCTGCTGTGGACATAAGCTCACCAGTTCAGCTGGCCTGTTGCTGAGACTTCTACATCCAAATTCTAATCGTTTGCCTCATTTAGATCTGGATTTAAACCTCAAGGCCAGGTTGGACGGGGCTTGGAGCAAGCTGCTCTAGTGGAAGGTGTCCCTGGCCATGGCAGGGGTTGGAACTGGATGAGCTTTAAGGTCCCTTCCAACCCAAACCATTCTGTGATTCTATGTTTGGGTTTTGTTTTTTTTTGTCCCCTCCAGGTTTTAGCATTTGCATAGTTCAAGCAGTGCTGTACAAGGCCATTGCAGCCAGACACGAGCCTTCCATGGTGCTTAATTAACATAGCAGAAATTTAGGTGACTTTTCCTGTGCCTGGAGTACTGTTGATATGCCTAGTCCTGAGCTAAAGCAGCATCTTTCTAGCTGAGAAGATGCCCAGGTCCCTGCAGCCTTTCCCAGCTTTGCCTTTCCTCTGTGCTTTCCCTTGGTGAGGGCAGCTCGATGCAGCTGCCGCCGGGTGCAGGGCAGGCTCCTGGGCTTTGTGGCTCCCAGCCACCCTGGGGTGGTAACTCTTACACTTGCTTTCAGATCCAAAAAGTTGATCCAGGAGTCAGATCAGCATCTGAAAGATGTTGAGAAGATTCTGCAGAACGACAAGCGATACCTGGTGCTTGACTGCGTGCCGGAGGAGAGGCGCAAGCTCATCGTGTCCTACGTCGATGACCTGGACCGTCGAGGCCCCCCTCCACCACCCACAGCCTCAGAGCCTACGAGACGAACAACAAAATAGCTATGAAATACTCTGAAGCCAAGGGTATCTGTTAAATCAAAAAGCTTGCATGAGCCATCTGTCAGGTTTATACATATACATTACCGTGAAAACATTGCAAAACCATCTGAGGAGCAGAGGAAGAAGCAGCATTTGTGAACATGAAATGGTCTCGGGGGGGGGGGGAACCAACGACAAAACCCCACGTTAAAGGTATTTGTGAGTTTCTTTGGGGCATGACTGACAAAAGTCTGAATGTGTGGCTGTGCCTGGTAACCAGCTCTCAGAGCAGAGCCGTGTCTGAAGCTGGAGGCATTCTCACCAGTGTCATATGCGTGGGTCTTAAGGATGATGACACTTGTGGTTTGAGCTTGCACTATGTGTGCCACCAGCTTCCTCATGGTTACCTGTGGTCTCTGCTGAGGAGGTGCATTGCTGTCTGATAGCTTAAATTGCCCACCACTGAAGAGCGTCTTCAGGAAACCCAGGTTCCAGTTCTCTGCTTGCTTTGACCCCTGTAAATGGAACTAAATCCATTCAAACCAGAGTTAGAACTGAGAGAGGAGAATTAGGACCGAGACCTTAAATCAAATCTGTTCACAGGTCTGCTTTTTTCCTTATCCTGTCCATGAATTAGAAGCAAAATCAGGTTGCTCTGCCCAAGTGAAGATTTGTCTGATAATTTGTACTCCAAGTTGGAAACACTTGGTCCATAGCAGTGGTTACCGGAGCAGAACAGGACGGTTGTACAAACCCATTTTTATTTACGATAAAGTGATCTTTACATACTTCTGGATTAGACTGTGGATTCCCCTCTGGGCAATTCTTGTAAACTATACTCCTGTTTTGAATGTTAAACTTGTGTTTCTAAAGCTTAATTTTGAAATGTTGGGATTGTTCAGTTTATGTATTTGAACTACAATAAACCAACCCTTTTTATATATGGATTGTACAGGCCTAATACCAATTTTTGTTGGATTTTGTTGGACTTGTGAATTTATGAGTAAAGCAACCAACTGAAGTCGTATCGCCCATCTTCTTGGCTGTGTTTGGCAGAGCGGAGTCCGTGTCACTGCAGAGTGGTGGATGGAGCTGCAGCAGCCCGCAGGTCAACATGTGGGCACTTGTGCCAGCAGAGCTGTGTTCCAGTTTAGATCTTGAGTCTTTTGCTTAAATAGGAGAGGGTAGGGCTGGTGTGACAGTATTTCCTTTGATTTGCTCAGTACTTGATGTGGATCCCTGCCTCTGAGCTGGGGGCTGGGGAGGGATTGATTCTTCCATGAGAAATTGGTATATTTTTTCTGTAGTTCCCGTTTTGGTGGCCAGCCCCTGGGTCCTGCAGCCTGAGCACCAGCACAGAAGGTTGTTTGGGGGGGGCTTGTACTGCTGACACCTGAACTGGGGGGCTTGCAGTAAGAACATATTCCATTCAGGGCATGTATCCCTCCTCCTACCCCCTCTGCCAGGGAATGGGTTTAGTTTCCCTCAGCCTAGCAGGAAGCCATGCATTTTTTATGGCTCTTTTAAAATATGGTTAACTTGTTCATTAAATGAATAAGATTGCTGTTAATTTTAATTTACCTAGTTTATGGCAACCAGATGTTCCTTAACACTTATTTATCTGCTGCTTCTGTGCCTAAAACAATTACACCTGATGTACCGGCCCCCTGGGGTGTTGCTGCTGCAGTCAGCAGTGCTGCTGGGGGAGAATGCTGGTCCTCTGCCCTGCAGCACCTCAGGTGCAGGACCCTGTGCCCCCCAGGGCAGGGGCAGTCTGGGGGATCCTCCTCCCAGAGGAGGTTGGGTGTAGGGGATGCTGACATCTTTCCCATCGCAGTCCGGTGGGGTTTTGGAGCAGTCCAACTCTCTCCCAGGCACCTTCACTGGCCACAAGGGTCCAGTAGCTCTGTTTTCTACAGGACAAGAGCAACAGCCCTTGTGTCTGCCCGGAACCCTGTTACTGGGAACAGTGCTGATGCCGGGCTACGGGGCTAAGCTGTGGGATGTGATAATGCTGCTCCCTGTGCTGGGGATTGCAGCTGGGCACCTTTCTGCCCATGAACATCACGGGCTAGCTCAAGTGCCACAGTGTGGGACTGTTCCACTGGCCATGTGGGGCTCAGTGCTCACTGACCAGCCTGATTTTGGCACCTCTGAGCCCCTCAGGTACCCATCGCTTCTGCTTTCCTGGCACAGGCTGCGCTGGCCAGAAGGGAATGTTGGAAAGGAAGCAGCCGCCCCCATCAGCTCGGACCTGGCAGCACCCTCTGCCCAGGGACCCGCAGACACCGTCTGGGTGCCCGGAGCTGCCGTCACCCGCACGCGAGAGGCACAAGGAGCCGGACAAAAGGCACGTTTGGGACAGCTTTACTTCTGGCACCAGAGTGCAGGCTTTCTTACAGGAACCAAAGACTTTCTTTTTAAAAAAAAGTTCATTTGCTCTTGCTATTTTATTTTTCTGTTTCATTTTTAAAAAACCGTTACTCCCGACAGCCTTCGCTTGGAATGAGCACGCGAGCACTGCGCTTCCCATTGCCCTTGTGAGCTCTCCAGGACGGCGGCTCTCCCTGGCGCAGGGTGTCCCCGTGGGTCAGTGCTCCAAGGCTCCATCCCAGGGGATGCGGGTCGCTGCTGTCTACAGCTCCCACGTGGGCCCCGTGCTCCTGGAGGAAGCAGCAGCCGCTGTCCCTGGTCGGGGTGAATCCTCGCTCTGTCCCAGCACCAGACCCTGCAGGGCCGCAGGTGCCGGCAGAGCTGCCGCCGCGGGGGTCACCCCTTGGGGCCACTGCTAAGGTGACAGCGTTAAACTTTGTTCATTTGCTCTTTGCTGCAGGAGCAGTTCTCAGATTGACTGAGGATGCTGTAGCTCTTTGTGTTGAACAGGTTTTTGCTCAAGTAAAAGAGGGACCCAAATAACCTGTGCTGTGAGCGGGGCAGCCTTGCCATGCAGAGTGGAGGAGATATTGGTTTTATTGTTATCATTATTATGGTTATTATAACTCAGGCCCACAGCCACCCTCTCTGGGAAGCAGTCAGGCGCTAACAGCAATATATGGTTGAATTCCTTTTTAAAAGGTCATAAATTAACAACTTATACTTTATCTCTTAAAAAAATGAATAAATAAATAAATTTTAAAAGAAAGGGAAAAAGAGAGAAAGAGTCAGAACATGCAGGAGCTTACAACAGAACAGGTGGGAGTGACCAAAGCAAGAGACAAGAAACGCAGACGAAAAGCCCAGGTTCGGTTTGGTTTGCAGTCAATGCAGTTTGGAAGCATCATTTATAAAGGTATTCATATACCAAAAAAGGCACCACAGTATCTACAGAGCCAAATCCTCGGGAGCACTGCCAGGGGGAGGCTGCAGCACATCCCCTCCGCGCCTGTCCCTTGCTAACCGGGACTTCCCGCTGTAGGTTTGGTGTTGCTGTCTCTGCTGGGACAAACACAAAACACCCACAGAAAGGAAAGGTGAGAACGGGCAGAGGGGCTCCGGGCCGGGCTGCAGCGCGGCCCCGGGGGCTCCGGGAGCGGGTTAACGCGGTCGGAGCGGGAGGGCTGTAACTGCCCACGGGGACACCGCGTGTCCCCCTCCCCTCCTCGTCCCAGGCCACCGCGCTGGTCCATCGCAGAGGGCTGCGGCCACCCCTATGGGACACGAGCCCTGCACACCCCCCAGCCACCCCACGCTACATCTTGGCTTCAGTGTGTGAATGGAGAAGCCTGGTGTGTGCTGGGGAGCCCCCGGGGCGCAGGAGCACTCGCCTCTGCATGACCGGGAGCTGCAGAGCAGCAACTGAACAAAGAACAGGAAGGAAAAGGGGAAAAAAACAGGAAAGAAAGAAAAGAACTGTTTGAAATCTTGCGTTTACTCGTGTTCATACATGAGACTCCTAGAGAGCAACTGTCCTCCTAGTTAACCTTGTCCTGGAATATGTACAGGTTATTGGTGGCTGCCACAGCGATGATGTTCTCGGTGGGGTGCCAGGCTGTGTGCAGGATCTTTTTGCTGAAGTCCAGGCTGTCCACGCTGATCTCGTCCTTCCTCCGCTTGCCTCCAATGCAGACCTTGCGGGGCTTGAGGATGGCGCGGGGTTTGCTGTTCTCCCGCGAGGCCTCCAGCGTCACGTCCCGCTTGGTGTTGCGGTCGAACATGCGGAAGAAGTTGTTGTAGGAGCCGGTCATGATGACACTGTGAGCACGGAGGGAGGATGGGTCACGGTGTGCGCCCAGCCCAGCCAACACCCGGCTGTGCCAGAAGGTTCAGCTCCGCCACTGGAGCCGCATCTCCACGTCCTCCTTAGCTCCTTAACCCAGGGAATGTGCACAGGGGAGGCACCTCCTCCTGGGGCAGCAGCGGTACAGAGAGCAGTCTTTATGGCAAGGATTCAGCTGACCTGAGCCAAATCATTTTCACACCTTTTTAGAGGGAAACTGCCTCATGATTAGAGGCAGCCAAAGTATCCAGAGGAATAATGAGATTTGGAAATCAGGCTCCAGGCCCAGCTGTGTCCCTTAACCCACCCAAAGGTTGAGAATAAAAAATATACATCAACCCTGCCAGGCCAAGTGGTTTTGCACACTGCCTGCTCTGGTTTGCTGTGATTTACGTGTGTGGACAGTCATCACCCCCTCGCTTCAGCAATCTGGAGCCAAACGCACCAACACCCTCCAGTGGGTGTGGGTGAACTGGAGACAAGAACAGAACCGAGCCAGGACCCCATCAGACACCCCCAGAGCAGCTGGGTGCGGGGATCCCGTTGTACCCACAGGAAAACTCCAGGGAGCCAGCCAGAGGCCAGGGAAGGGCACAGGGGAGCCCGCAGGCAGCCCCGGCTGTGCTCCCCCCCAGGGCCAGGCCGACCGGAGCCGCTCGCACTGACCTGTCAGAGCCGTTCCAGACGCACTCGAACTTGTCAAAGATGCAGTCGTTCTCATAGAGCGAGCACAGCTTGCTCCGCAGGTAGTCATGAACCTGCCGGGGGGACACGATGTGAGGCCCCCACATGCCCCTGAGCATGGCCACCCGCTACAGCACCAGCCCCGCTCCACATGTGGCGTTGGTGGCACCAGGGATGTCACCGTGCAGAGGGAGGCAGGGACCGATGCTCTCCCCCACCACCTGCGAGCACCTGAGTTCCCCACCCTCACCCTCAGCCCGGGACGTGGGTTTCACTCCACACAGCCACACAAGCCCACATTTAACAGCTCTTCCTTTGCTTTCTCTGATTTCATGGCATGATGCTCCCACCCATCAGGTCTGCACCAGCCCTGGAGCATGGCGTGGGCAGGAGCACGGCAGGTGCCCGGCTCTCCACTCTCACCTGGTAGGTCTCGATGGGCCGGTTCTCCATGTTGAGGTCCCACACCTTGACGGTGAGATAGTCCCGGGTCATGATGTACCTCCCGCTGTGGCTGAACTTGACATCGGAGATGGAGGAGATGATCTCGGAAAAGAACGACCGGTTACTTGGGTCCTCGGGCTCTTCAAAAACTGCCAAAGAGCAAAGGACAGCGCCAGCGTCAGCCAGGGCAGGAGCTCCTGTCCCTAGCATGAGCAGAGGCACCCGCAGCAGGGGGCAACGCTCCCACCTCTGGGTCTGATCTAGACTAATATGGACAAGCACCTGTATTTTAAGGACTTGGCACGATTGATGCTCCTTTGTTTTTAATGTGTGCAATAAGAGAAAGGGATCACCAGAGACCAATCTATCAACAGCACCACAGAAGCCCAGAAGATTTAGAGCCTTGCACATCACTGCTGCTCTCTAGAAATCAATGTGCAGCGTAACTGAAAGTCAATGTAAATATTTTATAGCCCCTGCAACCCACAGATTTAATTTGATCAGTCTTTGAGTAAATCAGTTTGAACAGTTTGAGGGAGACCGATGAAGTTCCAAATGAAATGTATTTATAAATTTGATTTCAGAGCAACATCAGCTAGGCAAGGACGGTTTTAGAAAGCCATCGCAGGGATGCATCAAGAGAGATGCTGTGATGCGGAGACATCTGTCCAGCTCCTCTTCCACATCTGCAGCTCCCCAGAGCAGCACTGCAGGATGCTTGCACCGCTTCACTTCTCTACTGGACACAAATCCAGCTGCCAGCCCCATGTGTCCAATGCTCATCCCCCTTGGCCGCTGGATCTGACACCCCATGTCCAGGGCAGGGCTGGTGGCTCCCCAGGCAGCGTGTCCTGCACAGTGCGCCCAGCACCGGCGTTTGCTGGGGTTGAGCATCCTCTTGCTAAGCCCTGTGGTACCCAGCACCTGCACCTCTGCGTACAGCAGAAAACACGCCTGAAGTGCCGGTATCAATGATCTCTACAAATCAGAAATGGCATCGCCCACAGCAGGACCCAGCTCCAGGGCCTTTAATCCCAAGCAGGAAATCTGATGACACATCAGGTCTTCTAAATAAGAAAAGCTACAGCAACAAGAGGAAATAAAGATCTGAGGCGGTCTGTGGAGAGCGTGTGAATGCCAGGACGTGTCTTCGCTGCAACCATCACAGGTTTGCTCTCACCAGGTCTGCTGGATTCCTGAGGCTTGCCCTAATGGCTGCATCATTTCCATCACAGATGCACGCCTGAGCTTATGTCAAGGCAAGAGGTGCTCAGGTTATAGTGCAGGGGCAAGAGGAAGTTGTTAGGAAAGAAGAATTTTCCCTGCACCCATGTCCTTGCCTGCTGTTCTGGGGCTCTGATACTGGGAAGCAAAACCCCCAGATACAAAGGGGGACACTTGTCTTAGGGATATACCTGCAATATGGGAGAGTAAAACCTGTGAGCTGCCGGCTACCTCATCAAAGCAGCTTTATGTGCTCTGGACCAAGGCTGAAACTCTTTTCAGCAGAGGATAAATGTTTGGTAGAGTTGCTGTAACACATTCAGCAGTGAGGAGACAGAAGGGAAAGGTCCCTCTTTGGGAAACCTGAGCCTTTGGTTTCAGGAGTTTGGTACAATCACTCCTTAAAACTCCATAAGGAAAAAGGGGAAAGCCTTTTGCTATGGGGAAATAACTGTAGTAACTGTTATTCTGCCCCTGTTACCAGCTCCAGGAATCCCGACCTGCCCTTTGGCTTCCCTCAGTGCTTCGGCCAAGGCATGTGTTTCTTTGGGCACGTGGAAGCTGATGCCGCCTGCGAGGCCAGCTCTGAGACTGGAGGGAGCTCACAACATCACAGATCGCAGGAGCTCCAATGAAATGGGCAAACAAAACTGAACACGAGAAGCACGTAAGTACGAGCTGTGCCCAAGCAATGAGCTGCATCCGTGGGAATTAACACTGCTGGGGCGTGCAGAGACAGCGTCTGCATTCCTATTAAATACTGACAGCTATTAAATGTCTCCATCGGAGGATTCGCCTCCAAAAGGCAGCGCTGCTTTTCACGTTGAACTTTGATGGACTGTCTCAATTTCCACTCGCACATCCGCAATGCTGCAGCTGTCTGGGGCTGGGGCTTCTGAGGGTGGAGGGAAATCAATCAGGAGATATCACAGGAGAGGTCAAAGGGAGCGGGATGTGCCACTGGGCGCCGTGTGCGGGACGCAGCAGCACCAGACAAAGGGAAGGGCAGGGGGGGCTCTGCCACTGGAGCATCAGGGAAATGGATTCTGTTTGCTCTGTGATTGTGTTCTGGTCCTCAGCTGGGAGCTGCCGCTGCCGGGCTGTGAGACATGGCCGGGAAACGCAGGAACAGAAACACTCCTTTGATCAGGGTTTGGGAAAGCTGCCACTGGTATTTCCCATCTCCAGCCAGCCAAAGCTCTCCCACCAGCGGTGCTTCCCCTCCATCCAATGCACCTCAGGTTAAAACAGGTCTCAGACACGAGCACAGCTCAGAAGCCCAGAAGCAACAGCTGCTGTGTAATTCCCTATCAGCTGTAGGAAACCCACATCTGAAGCACACCGCGGGGCTCTACAGGGGTAGGTTATGACCATGGGGCTCCAGGAAGTTGCACCCATTTTGTGTACCCTGTTCTCCTAAAGCGATCACACTTTGAGTACTGGAATCTCCTTAATTTCCCACAGGATATTGCCCATTTTCTGAGGAAAACCCAAACCAGAACAGGAGACACAGGAGTTCAGCTGTGCAGTCACACAGGAGAGGCAGGGCTTTGGCTATGCAGTCACGCAGGGCTTTGGCTGTGCAGTCACACAGGAGATGCAGGGCTTTGGCTGTGCAGTCACACAGGAGATGCAGGGCTTTGGCTGTGCAGTCACACAGGAGATGCAGGGCTTTGGCTGTGCAGTCACACAGCACAGCAGCACTTGCTCCTGCCACGTTTCACTGTTTTTAAGGCAGGCACCAAACTCTTTTTGACAACAGGGGGCTCAGCACAGGAACTGCCACGGCCCAAAGAACAGCAGCAGCTATTGACCAGCTCACCCATAGCTGCTGTGGGTGTTTGTGCCAGTGTTCCACTGGCAGGCTCTGACAGGAGGAATATTCCCAGCACCATCCTCTGGACAGGCAGAGGCTGAGCAGGACCCGAGCTCCGCGGCAGCGGCTCACTCATCGCATCAGCCTGGGAGGAACCAGGACCAGCTCCCTGCCTGCCCAGCTCACTCCGAATGTTGAGGGAGCTTTTCTGCACATCCCAACCCTGCGGCATCAACCACAGCTGAGAATAGGACACGGGGAGGACGGGGTGAGGCTGCGGGGTCTGTGCTCCCCTTTTCTGGGCTCTGTGAACGCGAAGGGGACCCCGTCCCCCCGCACCGCGCTGGGGCTGCACTCACACTTGGCGTGGCGGTCGCAGAGCGCGGAGGTGCGCATGTCACACAGCCGGATGGTGCCTTTGCTGCTGCTGTAGACAAAGGTGTTGCAGTGGTGCGGGTGGAACTCGGCAGCCGTGATCACCTCCGTCAGCTCCTCCATGTTGGCTGGTTTGATGTCCACGATGTCTGGCAGGGCGAGTCAAGGAGCCCCCTGCAGCGCAGACCCCACAGGTCCCTGAGCACCCTCCTGGGAGAGCAGCACCAACCTCGGGCTCCAGCCTGCACCAACACAGGGCAAAGCCCACCTCCATCACGTTGCTGTTCAAGCGGGGACCATGAGCCCTCTGTACAGCCAAGACCTGACTCTGCCGATTCACCCTGAGCCAGAGCAAACATCTCCTACTGCAGGAACACAAAACCAAAACCTGGAGCACAACGACCAACAGAAACTGCCACAGCCCAGGGGTGCTGCTGCGGACTTGTCACTTCCAAAACGTTTCTCATGCTCAGGCTGGGTGAAGCACTGGGTGGCAAACAGAGCTGGCCCTGAGGATGATGCCACAAGGACCTGCACAGCCCTGCAGAGCATCCCAGGGCTGCAGGGCACGGATGAAGAGGATCCACCCCGACTTGACACTAGCAAGCAGTCACCAGTGGAAGCAGCTTCAGATTGTACAGCGCAATCCAAACACCCAGCATGGGGTAACTGTGCAAACGGGGAGAAAGAAACAGCAGCTTTCCTGACCCCCTGGGAAGCAAATTAAGAACCTGCTGTTCCCAGCAGGATGGGAATTAACAGACAAATAAAGAATGAATTCCTGCCCCGTGGGGGGGGCATTTCCAGCAGCCCCAGGGCACAGACTCTGAGCGGTCTCAGCCCGGCCGCACTGCGGATCCGCAGCAGAACCTGGGTCCCAGCTCAAGCCAGGCCTGAGCCAGTGCACAGCCCTGCAGGGCAGTGACCGCCCCCTCTGATCGCTTCTTGGCCAAACTCCCTGCGGTTTCACCCAAATTTAGGGCTCCCCACATTCTTCCCCAAAACACAGCGCACTCTGCAGCCCTGCTTGGCCGTACCCACCAGTCACACACCTCTGACTGCTGAACTCCTCTCCGGTGCCTGAATGGGCCCCATGCCCCGTGGGGACTCCTCAGTGGGAAATGCTATAAATATCATCCATGATAAGTACCCCATTGCTGTTATTTCTGACGTGGCTGTTGCAAGGGTGACTGGCAGGGCCTCGTTTGTACAGCGGTGACTGGCAGCCCGTCACCTCGCTGCAGGGTATAGCAGAGACTGCACAATTAATATTGCCTCCCTGCATCTTCCCCAAGGCATCTGTCTGCTCCATCACCGGCAGACGCTGCTCCCGCCCGCCCTGCAGCAGAATTCAGAGCTGTGTCACCAGGCTGGAGGCAGCGTCCTCAGGATGCCAGATGAGCCCTGCACACGCAGGCAGCGGCTCAGCTCAGTGTGAGCCATGTCCTTCCGGCGGCACAGCTCAGCCCGGCAGAGATGAGAGGGAAGGGCCTTGGAGGTGACACCGGGAGAAGGGAGTTTCAGATGCTCTGCAGTCAGATGTGCTGTGGAGAGCACTGCTTTGTATTCCTGACCCCTGGGAGCCTGCCAGAGGGTGATGCTGTACAAGGAGCCATGACCAGGGTGCAAGGACGGGACCCCTTCATTCTCCTACTGACACGTGCACGCGTCTGGGCTCCCAGGGCTCCTACAGCCCACTCACCAGCAGAGGCACCGCCCGCACTCCCGCTCTTGGCCGGGCTGTGGGGTCACGCACCAAAGGATACTAAAACTTTGATTTGTGATTTCAAAGTTCCACAGGTTTATCCTCAGGTCATCCGCTGACATGTAGGTCTCGTAGTCGCTGTTGACGGAGATGGAGTTGATGTGGTAGGTGTGTGCGTTGGCAAACACCCGCCGAGGGGTGGCCTCCACCATCAGGTCCATGGGCCGGAGCACTGGTACCTGTGACAGGAGGCAGAGTGTCAGCACCCGGGGACGGGTCCCGCTGCCCACCGGACCTGCGCCAGCACCTGGCATGGACAGGCACCGGCTCCATCACAGTGGGTGCCTGCAAGCACTGGCTGCCCCCTCTCCATCCCCCTGCCTCGGCTCATGCCCTCACCAAGGAAACCCAGCAGCTGTGTGCGGGCATGAGCAGGACAAGCAGACACAAAACCTTACACCTCTGAGAGAGGCATGAGTACGGTTTGATTGCAGCAAGAGCCCCGTAACCCAGGCTCAGGTCTATGCTGCAGTGACTGCTCCTTCTTTGGGAGAAACAAACCCAAACCCACTTCTGCCTTGTTTTGTCACTGTTAACTGGTGAAATTCCTGCCAGAGGCATTTCTAACAGGCTTGTGTGTCTTGAGAGAGCCAGGGCAGCACTTTCTTTGCATTTGCTTCACAGCAAAGTGACGGAGGTGAGAGATGAGAAGAGACAGGGAAAGAAACACACAGGGCAGGGACAAATGGGGGACTAGAAAGAGAGCTGTACGTGTTCACCTTCAGATTAATAAGCATAACTCTTGGAAACAGGGGATTGAGAGATGCAGTAAGAACAGGGAGCACGAGGAGTGGTGCAAGTAATAGCTTCAGACAGGACGCTCCGGAGGCAGTTCAGTGCTCCCGGAGGTGTCAGCCCGTGCTCCTGCTCGGCAGGCAGCTCTTCCCTCAAGCTACTTCATTACTGTGTGTATTATCTGTGCGCTGCCCAAAGCGATTTCCCGTGGCTGCCGAGGTGGGGACGGGACTGTGACAGCCAGCGCCAGTGACACCAGAGCGCAGGGACTGCAGCGCGGAGCCGGAGCTTAATGTGACGAGCCTGCCCGCTAATCCTGCCTGACACAGGCAATGATGCATCGTTTGCACTGACGGGCTCCGCTCAGCCGCTGGGGACGGAGGCTCAGGGATTACGGGAGCCGCGCTGCCGGTCAGACAGGCACAACCGCAGCGCAGTGCAAAGGGAAAGAGCTCACGGTTACACCGGGCTGTGCCCGTACAAAACCAAGTGCAGCAAAGGCAGGAGCCCAGCACCTCACTGCACTGCACCACACCACACTGCACCTCACCTCACTGCACTGCACCTCTCGCTGCCCTGCACCTCACCTCTCCTTTCATTGCACCTCACCTCACCTCTCACTGCACCTCGCCAGGGGCAGCCGGGGCTGAGGCGCAGCAGCGTGGGCACCGGCACCTTCCAGCAGGATTCCCTGCCCCAACCACGCTGCTCCCACTGGCATTGCCATGGCAATCTTCAACAGCACAGAGCTCCGCAGTGCATCCCTCCTTCAATTACGGAGCCAGCCTGCAGGGCAGGCTCTGGTATTATATACACCCATTATTAAAGGGTAATTCAGTGTAACAAACCGCATCAAGTACATAGAAAGGCTGCCAAATAAAATAAACCACGAATAAATTAAATTACTTCTTGTTTTCGGGGCGGGGGGAGGGGGGAATGCCAGTCATTTCTCATTTAAAACAAAATATGTCTTCATTTTTCTCTCTTTTACCAGGCACCCCCTGCAAAAGAGCTGGTCCCACTCATCCAAAGGGCACATGACGCTCAATTCCTCTCTCCTTGTCTGGCCAAGGCTTCCCCTTTGCTCAGTTAATGAGGCACTAATCCTGCCTTGAGCTGTAAAATTCATCTCCTGGGTGGTGGGGGGGTGGAAGATCCAGGGTGCCCTGGTCCTTCCCCACCACCAGTGCTGCCAAGCGGAGGACCATGGTGCTGTTAAAAGCACGGCAGTAACTGCTGCTGCTTCTCTACTTTGCCCCCTGCTCTCATCGAGTTTCCCCTTTCATTGCCTGTCATGTTGACGGTCACCAAACGCTCCCTGCTCCCCAGGGTAGGGAAGGCTTCCCATAGCAGAGAGTCTTCTTGTTCCCAGTGCCATGATGGACGTGGTGTGAAGGGATACAGAGGTTTGGTGCTCCTCAGGAAAACCTCATCCTCTGCCCAAAACACAAGTCAATACACAGGGAAAAGGATAAGGCCTCAGCTCCCGGCCACGTGCTCACCTCTCACAGGCACAGTCCAGCATGAGCCGGGTCTGAGCTGCCCGTTACTGGGCTCAGACAGTGACCGGTCACCCCAGCACAGCCCCGCAGCGAGTGCAACCCAACACGCACACCAAGGCAAAAGGACCCAGGCTCAGCACCTCTGCAGGTACCTGCCCTGTTCAGCGGGACCAGCAGCGCCAATTCTCCTACGACCTCAGCCCAGCCACGATGCTGTGAACCAGTGCTCAGGGCAGAGCTTTGCTCCCTCCTCCTGCACTTAGAGAAGGGCAAGCTGCTGTTCCTGGAGCGAGGCATCAGCCCACCAGCCCCGGCAGATGCTGGCTCTGCAGCCCCGGTGACCTGCAGGATTTGTCCATGTGGGATTAGCCACAGCCGGAGCCCAGATTAACCCCATCCTTGGTTCTGCAAGAAGGAAAATGTCATCTGGTTCCCAGCAAATCCGAGAGCAGAGCTGGCTGCCCAGCGACAAACCCAGGCTCATCACCTGCTCCAGCAGCCAGGCTCCTGTGGACGTGCTCCCCGGTGTCTGTTTCTCACCTACAAAAGGCACAATCTGCAACCAGTGCTGCCTGCACATGAATAGTTTGCAGACAAAATGCACAGCAAATGCCATTTCCATGGCAGACGGACAATTTCCTGCTCTTCAGGATTTTGTCTCATTGGACCTTCCCCGTGATGGGGGAAAGGGACCTTCCCATGGAGGATAAACACACTGTCCCATTACCAGTACGTGTAGCCAATAGAGCTGCTGGTTTCATCTCTTCCCCAGACACGTCCCTCCCTAAGCCTCACACTAACACCTCCTGTCGCCCGTCACTGAACCTTTTCATACAGTGAAGCAAGATTAAGCCTGGAGTCCGTCCATGGGCCAACTGCTGGAGCCATCCCCACAAAGAGCCCAACACCAGGGCCCACTCACAAGGGGTTTCAGCACAGGGATGAGCAAGTGTCCTTCCACACAGAGCCTCCACCACCCCAGGTTTCCCCGTCTCTCTGTGCTTTCATAGCATGATAGGATTTTTGTTGTTTGTAACCGAGAACTTGTCCTGGATCAGCTCCTGTGCTCTGGGATTGCTGTCGCCACCTGCACCTGAATTTTGACACAAGTTTGCAGAAGCCTCAGAGAACAAAGAGAGCATTTTTCTTATCCAAAGTTCAAAATCCTGACCCCTTTTCACCAATCTCATCCACAGCGCACGCCCCTCAAACTTGTGATTGCTTGAACAGATCTTTATTAACTTATTTTTCCCTCTGAAAGAGATCCCGTGTCAGTAAAATCCCACCAGGGGGACGATTTTCCCAGCAAAATCCTGCAGAAGCAGAGCCACGCTCCCAACCACACATTCAGAGCAATCCAAACCCGCTGGATAATTCTGCTGGCACATTGTTTTTACAGCACGTCTAGACACAGATACCACCAGTGCAATTGCTGTGGAAATAGAAATGGAGAAAAATACTGGAAAAGTCAATTCTGGTCACCAGCATTTCCAGGCGAGTTTACAGATGTTCCAAGGATGAAGTATGAGTTTTCACCAGAAAAACAAAAAAAATGAGAAAAGTACCTCAAAGCTGCGCACCACAGGTCCCAGCATGTGCTGAGCCCAGCACTGCCCTGCCTGGGCGCAGGATGGGCGAACGTTGCACCCTGCGCTGCTCCAGAGCAGTGTGAGCAGCTCATGGAACTGGGAAAACCCTTTGTTTTTCATTTCCATGGCAATGATTTGATGATGATCATTTGAAATTGATTAGTTCTGCCATGTGCATTTTATAGCCCAAAAAAGCCAAATGTTACACATTACGTTGTCATTTAAATGATAATGCTTCGGAGAATGTACACAGGGAAAAGACAGACAGATCTCTGTGCAGGGGCAGAAATGCTGCAGCACCACATGCCTTCTCCAAAGCATCCTCCTTCCCTTTCCCTCTCCCATCACCCAGCCTCACTCAGGGCTGCCCGCTGTGTGCACTGCATGCTGTGGATACACAGCACAACCTCCCCGGGAAACTGCTCCAGGAAATCCCAGTGCTTTGGCAAAATGGGAGACACAGACCCACACTTCTGGTGGATTTTGGTGGGACCAGGTGAAGCGGTAGCTCTCAGTCAGAGCACGTTTTGCGACAGCCACAAGCACCCGCATTGCGTCTGGCTGGGGAGGGCCATTCCTCACCCAGGGAGCTGTTGGTGCAGAGCACAGAAACCCACCCCCTGCACCATGGTCACCTCCTGGGTCCTCCACAGCCAGGTGGGACACAGCCCTGCTGCCCAGAGCAGCTGGTCCTGCAGCTCAGTGGGTGCACAGCAGCCTGTCTGCAGGGTGCTTCCTTCCTTACACACATTTAAAACGCCTGGGACAGAGATCAGCTGCCTGGGGCTGGGAAAATTGTTCCCAAATGGTGTCCAAGGCCCCCTGGGTTTCCCTGGCACAGACAGGGGAGAAGCGAGAGCCCTGACCTGAGCCCTGCCAGCCCCAGCTGCTCCTCCCGCTGTGGTCACAGCTCAGGAGAAGGGGACGTGATGGACTCCAAGGAATCCCAGCCTGGCTGGAGCACCCTGTGACGGGGTCGGTACGGTGGGAGGATGCACCCCAGTGTTTCCTCACAGCCTGACCTGCTGTGAGGGACCAAAGCAAACACATTCTCTATTTAGAAGGATTTAAAGCCTTGGGTATTATTTGTGTTAATTATTTCTTGCACACACCCCATGGCAGAGGTATGGCTGTACACCGACCAAGGGGCACTCGAGAGCTCGCTGAGGCTGCTAAATGACGCCGAAGGGCTGCAGCTATTAGACTAGAGGCAACCCAAGTAAGCAGAGCTCTTCTAATGACAGCAAAAGCCTTACTTTACAGTCTGAGCAGAGGTAAACATTCCTTCTGCTCTATGTGGGTTAGAAATTTCTCAGAGAACAATGCTCATCAAGCACATTAAAACCATTATGACAAATGGGTAAGAGATGGTGGCAGCAAGGTGGTTTTAACACCTTTTTTGCTCGTCTGTGGTTGAAAATTTAACTGGATGGATGTGGCTTTACTCCAAAGCAGGAGCATCACAGGACAATTAGATGTCAGAGATACACCAGGCTGCAGCAAAGTGGTTACAGCAATGTAAATATCTAAGTAAAATCATCAAAACATCAGATCAAACTAGGGCTGGAGGAAGACTCTTCAATACCCTGTCCTCAGGGACAGCAGGCGCTATGCAGGCAGAAACTAATAACCATAAACGCTGAGCACTTACACCGTGTTTTACCTCTTCCCGTTGCCACGAGGCAGGAGCCACATGTTCCCACCAGAGCGTGGGGAATCGCAGCACTGTATCTCAGGGCACAAGGGAGCACACCCAGCTCCTCCAGCACCAGGAAACAGACTGAGGGCAAACCAAAGGCTGAAACATGAGGCAGACAGGGGACTCCAATAAGCACGGTCCAGCGCTCGGATGTTCCAGTGCCAGTGGGACGGGCTGGGTGCCCCCCACACTGCCAGGGCTGGCCCCAGCCCCGCTGGCAGCAGCTCTGAACCCTGCCCCTCTGTGGGGCACCGGCCACCATGGATGGGGACGGTGGAATTCAGGCCGAGCACTTGCAACCCCCTGCACCAATTTTCGGCTCCGCTGCAGCCCTGCAGTCACCAGCTGAAGCAAGGGGATGTGGTCAGACACAGTCGGCTGACACCAACAACCAGCACTGAAGATGAGCAGGACGATTACCTGCTTTCATAACCACGTCGCCCCTGCACTCCTCTGAGGTGTCATCACCCTCATTGTGAGCTCCCGTTAACTGACTGCTGCTTCCCGATGGCCGGTCTGGGATGGGAGCCTGACCACCAGCTCGGCATTCCTGCACCCCCCCGGCCCTCGGCCCTGTGAGGGTTGGTAACCCCAGCTCTGACATCCCAATGATGAGCAAACTCCAGCAATGGGCTGTGTAGGTAACAGAGTATCAGGCTGAAAATGCTGCCTGAAACGTAACAGCAGATACGTTCATACATGAAATTAAATGTTTTCTTGCTCGGTAAAGAAAAATGCCTGCCAGCCACCAGGAGCAACTCAGTACGCAGGTGAGAATTAACTGCCTGTCAGGGGCTCTCAAAGGATTCATCTGCAAAGGAACTGGAAGCCATAAAACTGAGCTGAGGGTAATTGTAGCAACATTTATATATATATACAAATATAAACCCCCTGAGTACTCAAAATGCAAATTCTAAGAGGATGTTACTAAATTACAAGGTGGTCTGGTCTGATTAATGCCATCACAAAATTCCTGAACACTTGTCACTTCTAGGCAATGGGTTCAAGGGGTTATTGCCAAGCAGGGGAGAACATGGCTCCCCCCTGTTTGCAGAGGGGCAGCTCACTGCTGGAGCCATGCACCAGGGGTCTCCAGTGCTGCCTGCACCCACTGCCTGCATCCCCTGCCTGCACCCACTGTGCAGGACCCCAGGTGAGCTCTGGTGAGATTAGCCGTGCTCCTCTGCTGCGGGCTGGAGCTGGCTCTCTCTGAGCAAATCAGAGCTTGTAACCAGCTGTCCCGGGGAAGAGCAAACTCACTGGCACTGCTGGTCAGGAGCCACCAGTGCCAGGGGCTGCCGGGCAGACGGGCACTGCCATGCCCCGGTGCCTCCTCTTGCCAGGCTCCCGGCAGCGGCTGCATTAACGGGGTCTGTGCATCCATCCCCCCTTGCAGTAAATGGAAAACGTAGCCCTGGGTGTTTACATTTGATTCAGGAGCTGGTTCTAATCTCCTTAGGCTGGGAGGAAAACTCATTTAGAGAAGGTACTTATGCTCCCTAAGCAGAAGTTGCAGTTGCAAATGCACTAAGCAGAGAGAGCCTGTTAACTGTCTCGTCCCCAGCATGCTCAGGGCATGCAGGGCACTGCAGCAGCGCCAGCATCAGCACCGGGCACTGGAGTACCTGACATGACACAAAACAGGGTGCTCGGTGGCACAACTGCCCAGAGACAGCACCACTCCTGCAGCAGCTCCACTCCTGTACCTGCACACCAACCAAAGCTCTGAAACAGGGAGCAAGCCCTGCCCTCTGACACCGACCTGCCACACAGGATGGCATTACCAGTGACACAGCACACAGGTGACACCACCAGCAACTTCACAGAATCACAGCCTGGTTTGTGCTGGAAGGGACTTTAAGGTCCCTTAACCTCATCCACTTCCAACCCCTGCCACAGGCAGGGACACCTTCCACTAGAGCAGCTTGCTCCAAGCCCCTGTGCCCACCCTGGCCTTGAACACTGCCAGGGATGGGGCATCCACAGCTTCTCTGGGCACCCTGTGCCAGCGCCTCACCTTGGTTTGACCAAAGATACTGAAGAGAAAGGCTCCTTCACAGCCGTGACCTCCCCAGACTCACCCGTAGCATGGTGATCATGGAGGGGTCTCGGAGACGGCCGTCCTCATCCTTGAGGTTGTATCCCTCTGGTCTCTTGTCCCGCTCGCTGATTTTCCATAGCTTCACAGTCTTATCTGTGGGCAGAAGAGAGCAAACAGTCACAGCTTGGCAGACCAACACGCCACGGCCACTCAGGATGGTTTCTAACAGTGGAATTCTGCCCTATTTCTCCCCCTCTCTGACCCCTGTGCTGTGAACACCCTGCAGCCATCCCTGTGGACTCCTGCATGGAGAAGCATCCACTCACCCTGTGCCACAACCCCTGGGGAAGGAACATCCGGATTTGCTCCAAGTAATGGTGTTTTCCTTCCCCTCTCCTGGCAGGGGCTCCAGCAGTAGTTTGTCATCACTTCCACCAGGTTTCATACACAATCCTGCAATTTATCTTCATTTTCTCCTTTCCATGGCAATTCCAATAGAGTGCCATTAATTTTGTTTTTATTAACCCACTTTACTTCAGGGGGTTCTATGTATAATGCTAGTTTAACAGTAAGAACAACGCAAAACAGCATAACATGGGAGCATTTCTGAAAGGATCATTTTTATAACCTGCTAGCATATGAAACGCCCTCCCAAATGGAGAGATAAAATCCCTGTTAATCAAAAAACTATTTAAAAACCCAATTAACAGAACATTATGCTCTATAATTAATATTCATTGCATTTCAATGATTCCCCCCCCCCCCCCCAAATGAGTTTAATAAGTCTTTGAATTTTATTACAGTGATCAATAGAGTCAATCCTATAATACAAAGTAAGTTGGTTATGGAAGATAATTAGACCCCTCCTTTTCCTCTGAAATAATTAAGTCACATCCTTCTTTAGCTGCCATTCACCCCAAGTCATATTCCTGGATCCTCCTGATATTTATCTGACTGTAACAAGGAACTGCTGAGCTGAACGGAGCCATGGCAGCACTGGTGCATGCCCAGCGGCCACGTACCATTGGTGGAGAGCAGGAAATAGGCTGCGTTCTGCTGCGGGAGCCATCGGATCTTGTTGATCTTCTCCTCTATCTCCAGACTCTTCAAGTAATCGAACTCCGGCTCGTGGCTCTGGAAGGTGCTGTAGACATTGTACTCTCCCCTGCGATGGGGCTGGTTTTTGCTCTGTAGGAAGGGCACAGGGAGGGATTTAAAGCACAGGGAGCAGGAGAACATCCTGTGTGGACTCCTTGGGTCTCCGAGGTTTGTTAAGTGGCAGCGAGTGCCTGGTCACGGTGACGCAGCACAGGTCTGAAAGCCAAAGGCACGGCCTCTCCTGTCCATGAACTGAGCAGGAAGGGAGCGGGAACAGAGGGAACCACTGGCAGCACACCACCTGCACGGGATAAGCAGCGTCTGCCCCATGGGGACACAAATACAACATAGCTGTTAGCTATGGATGGACTCCCCCGGCATGCTCAAATGCACCAGAGAGCTGCAACCCGAGAAGAGGGATGCAGGCAATGCAGCATGGCTTTGGAGGGTGTTTTACAGGATGGAATCTGGACCTGCTTATGTTAAGTCACTTTTCAGTTTGGAGTCTGCCAGGAGACATCTGAGGTTAGGAGTGACACAGATGGATTAGGAAACAGCAGGAAGCTTCTCTTAAGAGGATGAAATGGGCATTTTGCATTCACTGGCACTTACCTCCTGCTCACGTTGAAATATTACAACACGGCCCCCCTTGTCCCCTGTTGCTAGTAGTTCTCCAGTGTGATTAAATTCAACTGTGGAGATGATGTCAGCTGGAAAGAAGACAAAGACAATTTAAGTAAGCACAGACTGGCTTTCACAGGCATCTAGGAAGCACCATTCCTTGCTCAGCCACATGCCCTGACAGCACTTCATTCCTTGCAGGATCTCCATAAATCCCCATTTTTCTGTTGTCTATGATAATAACAATGGCCTCAGCATCTTGCTGCCAGGAACCAAGACCTGCTCAGCAGGGACTGGGCAGGGACTGGCATTGGATGCAGAAGGGGGAGAATCCAGGGGCTGGTAACTTGTAACCGCTTTGATCCGCAGTGTTTACCCCTGGGAGCCGCTCGTGGTGGGATTTATTTGGGCTGGTTTTAGAAGCGTGTCAGAGGTTAATTCCACGGCAATTGCCGCCCAAGCGGTGTCAGCACTGCCTGGGGGCAGCTCCAGCAGCCGGGGCAGGGGAGATGCGCTCTGTTCACAGCCAGCTCGCTCCTGCCGCAGCCGCCGGCAGCGCTCCCCTCCCTTTCCCCTCTCGTTCCTGCCGCCCACCAGCACAACAGGGTTGCCAGGACCCCAGCACCACCGGCACCCCGGAGCCCCGGTGCGGCGCAGCGATTCCTCTTGCTTGTTAGCTCTGTCACGCGCCAGCAGAGAGCCAGGTAACACGAATTGTCCCTTCTCCCTCCTGTGGTTTTTATCCCTCTTGGATACGTACTGGAAAGTTACCAAAGCACATGAGAAAAGATTCAGTTCAGAGACTGGCACAGCCTGGCAGCTGCTGAGAACCCTCCTGAGGGTCTGGCTCCAGGATGCCAGCCAAGCACCCACCAAACACATGCCCTGCGCCATGGCAGATCCCAGACCAGGAATCTCAGAGGCCCTTCCATGGCGCAGGCTCCCCAGAGCAGCACAACCTGCACCCCAGGATGGTGCCTCAGCCCTGCCAGTTACTTCAGCAGGTCTGGGGATCAGAACAGCCCCTGGGGCAGGTAGAGCCCAGCAGCCACCTCATCTTAAGATACCTCTGCTCGCTCACCAGCACACACCCCTTCTCACCAGCACGCACCCCTGCTCACCAGCACGCACCCCTGCTCACCAGCACGCACCCCTGCTCATGGTACGTATGTATCTGGTTTGCATTATTTAACCTTCTCCATCGCCTGCTGTTGCTTTCAGGTCATTCAGCTGCCAATGAATTGGAAATCACTGTCCATGCTGCAATGAGCATCTGTCAGATGGCAACAGCACCTCCTGCATTGCCCGGTCAAGGGATCACGGAGCCAGGCACCACCAGCATCCTGGTGCCAGCCCAGCCCCACCAGCCGCTCACTCTGCTCCTGTGGGGAAGGGGATGCAGGCCCACAGGACATCCTGGACTGGCTACTGGATCATGCCCATGTGGGTTTGAGACAAGATAACAACAGAGCCTGGCTAACAACATGCTGGCAGACCTTAAAAACTCTTCACAATTAGAAATACCTCTTGTGAGGGGAGTTATTCAACCCGACCCAAACCCCACCACTGTCAGCAGGACTCCCCCCAGCACCCATCTCCACTTGAGGGCTGGGCTCCAGCTCTTCTCACTAGTACTGGGTAGGAAAACATCCCCAAGGGGTGGAACGGGAGTCTCTGAGAGGTGCCCATCGTGGAGTACAGGGCAGCACCACTCCCTCGCAGAGAGGTCTCTGAACAAAGCTGCCCCCCCCAGCACAGGCTGGTCCCGGGCTGTGCCGCTCACCCCAGCCCTGCTCTGGGGACCCACGACAGGGTGGTTGTTAATTAAAATCCACTCGCACTGACACAATCAATAACTTATGTCTGTTGCTCCCGAGGTTCCTGCAGCAGTTTTGTGACAACAGAGAGGAAAAAAACTCATCTCCTGGTTTTGCTTTTCCATTTCCTTCATCACCTCCTACACGCTCAGTGCCCCGAATGCGGGAATTTAGAGAAAGCTGTTTCCATGGAGACGCTCCCCGCGCCAGCGCTGCATCCTCATCCTCCCTCCACAGCGCCCGTGATCCTTCATGCTTCCACACTAAAAATACCAACGCCGGGATTTGATTTCCGCTGTAGCGATACAGTTGTATCAGAAAAATAGGAATTTATAATCCGCACACACACGTCCCTCTGGGTGTGCAGGGAAGGTGTGATCCCCATCAGGAGCGGGAGAACAAACCCACTATCAGAAAGAGAGAGCTGCATCCGGTGTGAAACCTGCATCCCTGGAGCAGCCCAACTCAGAGCAGGGAGCTGCCCACACTGCTGCCCCTCTCCTTGTGCCCACCAAGGCTGGGTGCTCTGCCCCTGCTCCTGGGGCATCCCAAGCACCTTGTCCCCACTCCTGGAGTATCCCAGGCACCTCACCATTGCTCATGGAGCATCCCAGGCACTCCGTGCCCACTCCCATCACATCAGTGGCTGGCATAGGGCAGCAGCTCACGCCTGGCATGGTCCGGGACAGGCTCTGTGCCCCGTCCCAGCTGCGTGGAGCTCTGCTCTCTCTTCTCTCTTCATGTCTCTGTGTAGCTACAGACAACGCCCTTCCGCAGGATGGGAACAGCAGCTTTCCTCAAGGTAAGTGTGACCAAGAGGCCTCGCTCAGCCCTGACATGGGACAGAGCACAGGGAATGCTTCACCCCTTGCTCTGCTCTGGACCCAGCCCTGATGCTCCCCGAGACCTGCACTTTTCTGTAATGGAGCACATTCTGCAAGCCTGGGTGTCCAGGATGGAGAAGCAAGAAGGACCTGATCCCTGTAGCCTCTCCCTGCATCTCCCTCCCCTCTGGCCGCTTCCAGCAGGACAGCCTCTTTGGAGCAGGCAGCCCATGGCCCTGTACCCACACACTGGCCCAGGAGCTGTGCACATGGCACTGTCAGGACAATTCCTTCCCTGGTTCCTCAGGGGTGCAGCTCTGCCATGCTCAGGGGGCTCCGGACCTCCCAGAGCAGCAGCGTATCCCGGCACTGCCGTGCTCCTGCCCTGGGAAGGGGCTGGTGCCCGCGGCACGGCTCCCGCTGCCCCGCTCTTGTCATCATGGGTGTAAGTCACACAGTGGATGGCACCGCACACAAAGCCTCCAACTCTGCAGATGAGAGTAAATTGGGAAGCACCGTAAATAACAGCAAATCAGGCTGCCAAATGAGGGAGGATTTAGATCATTCAAATCCCAGGCTCCGAGTTGTCAAATCCAGTTTAATGCTGATAAGTGTGGGATAACAGCTCCCTGCAACTACGTCTCTCCTCTCCCCCATGTCAGCGCCTTGAAGAGAGCGAGGGCAGAGGGGGGGTGTGCTGGGTGGGGAGGGCACTGTGGTACAGCCTGCTGCTGGTGGAGAAAGCAAATGGGACACCAGCAGGGAACTGGGGAACAAAATCAACACCTGCAGAGGAAACCGTTCAGGTGGATGAAGAAAGCACAAGGAGGGCATGAAAAATTGGTGGGCCTGGGGGGGGAAATGAAGGACACAGCCACGTCTGGCACCGTGAGAGCCACCAGCCCCACCATGGGCCCTCTGCAGGGTTCTCAGTGCAGCAAAACCCCATCTCTGCATCCACCCCTCGTGGCAAGGGGTGCGCCCTGAGCTCAGGAAGGGGGTTTGAGGAGAACACAAACCTTCAAGTGTCCACAGAATAACGCAGCACAGCCGGAGGAGGAGCCAGTTCCAAACCCAGTGACAGCCTCTGTGTCCCACCTTGTCAGGAACTGTGAGACCCTGCATTTCACTGTGTAAAAGAGATACCCCCGCTCTCCCTTTCTGCCTGCATCTCTTAAAAATGAAAGAGATAACGGGGTGTTAATAACCCTGAAACACACACACTGTCAGCAACGAGGAACATACGCTGAATGTCAGAGCCTTAAATGAAGCCTTGCAGGGTTTTGATGGGGAGTTGTGAAGATACCAGCGTGCAGGCTTGAACACTGAAAGGTATTTGAAAGGAGCCGTGACTTTTGTTACAGTACAGACTTACAACAGAAGAAACCCCAAACCCAACCAGCAAACAACCCAATTCCAGTCCCAAATGTAAATAGGCCAACCCTGCCTGTGGTGGGCACCAACTGGCCACCAAACGGAGGATGCTTCTGGGGCCAGTCCCGATTCACACCCAGGGGGACCTGTGCCCCAGGAAGGCACCCGAGGAGCCGTCCTGGGCACTTGAGGGACCTGGGATCCTTCCAGGTTCACACTGGGTGCGCCCAGGACGTCGTGGAAACACCCCCCCCAAAACAAAGCACCCAGCAGCTCCACAGCGGAGCCAGAACCCCAGGTCCCATCCCAGCAGGCAGAGCAGAAACCTCATCCAAGGACCTGGATGCAGCTTTCTTCCCTGCCTGTGAAACCTGGAGCGAGCAACCAAACCAAGGAGCACTTTGGAACCCTCAGCTACAGAAAAGACAGGCGGAAGAGGGAAGACTGGACAAGGTGATGGGGCTGGAAGGGGACAGGGAAGTGCCACCCCAGTCCCACCAGAATGGGCAAGGCGCAGCTCCCAGGGTGACACTGGGCTGAGCCCAGGACATCAATCCTCCCTTAAACCGTGTGGTCCATAGCGGTGGGAGGGAAGAGGACAGCAGAGATTAAGCTGGGATCTAATGGCATGCAAAATCAGACATGATTGACCTGCATTGATTTTTCCCTGCTGATGTGAATGATAACCTGGCAAACCAAAATCAATTCCACTGCATTAAGCCCAGCAAGGACTTGTGATCATCAGCAAAAAGCCCTGAAAAACCACTGCTTGCTGACACCATGAAGCGCCACATGGCACTGCATGGCACGGCACAGCACAGCATGGAACAGCACGGAACGGAACAGCATGGCATAGCACAGCACAGCACAGCACAGCTTGGCACAGCATGACATAGCACAGCACAGCGCAGTAAAGCACGGCACAGCATCTTCCCAACCCCTCCATCCCAGCTGGGCTGGGGCTGCAGCCACAGAGGGCCGATGGGCTTTGCAGAACACCATGAGCACCTCCAGGCCCTGGGAAAAGCCCAGGCCTATTCTTCTGCCCCATCCTGATCTGTATAGTCTGCAGGG